AATTAAAACATTCGAAAGTTTTTTCGAATAAACGAATCTTGAATAATGTTCGTGATATAAATATTCAAAGGGAATAATAAAAATCGAGACGTTATTATATTCGGAAGCAAATACAATAATAGGAATCCTGATTATCTAACCTTTCGGACCTTCAATTATTTGGGCATGGCCGAATATTTTAAGCTGTATTGTGCCGAAAAAGTCTAGTTTAGAAGAATACTATTGACTACCTAAAACCAGTCGATATTCAGGTACGCAAGCTTTTCACTTGTGAAATGGTCCCGCACTCCTTTTATTTTATTTTTTGCTTTCTTTCAAAATGCTGACTTTTACCTTTTACACACTGTTTCAAGATCTGGTGTGTCTTTTATTATCTGCGTTTGTGAAAGTCGTGACAATCAGAATCTGTTACATGTGAGTGAAGCGAGCAATCCTATGGTGACTTATTTTACCTTAGCACTAGCTTGAATTTCCGGTTACGCCCGTCTGGTTCATTTAGTAGATCTAGTTTTAAACTAAATTTTCTCCCAGAAAGGGCATAGCTCAGCTTTTATTCCAGTAAAGCTGGATTCTAGTAAATTTAGACTGTGTGCTCACATGTTCACTTTTCTGGTACCACAGAGGGGAAGAATTTGTAAATCACTAAGTGGCTATCAAAATCGTACATATTTGCCCAGTAGGAGGGATACTTGGTCGAAGTGGCAATCTATGAAATAACTTCAAATGCTGATTCTAGATTTGTCTTTCATATTTGCGATCTGAAAGTTATGGAGGTTTCTGTCTATCAAAAATGGTTTACAGGACTTAGAATAAATTGCTCAGAATTTCAAACTTGGAAAACAGCAGCGTAAAAGGCTGAACACTGAAAAAGAAAACATGTCTTCGTAAAAGAAGTAGTCCTTCTTAAGTTCTTCAGAGAAACGCTCGCAGATATGGAAGGCAGATTTGGAATCAGCGTTTGAAACTGGTTTACTAGGGTGCATCTCTTCTTTAATCGTCACTTCGACCAAGTATCTTTCCCTTGTCAGAGCGAAGAGTGCGAAAAGTCGATAATCAATAATAACGATAGATGAATCTTTGCATGGGTATCAGATTCCTAATCAGCATATCTTCTTATCCTATTGTACCATTTGCCAGCTGTATGGAGCGCAAAATGCAAAAAAACCAACGAATCAATAAAGCCATTCGATAAATCGGCGAATGGT